TACAATTTAATTTATTAGACTATTTTGAAGGTTTGTCGCATGCTTTCTTCCAACTTCTTAAATTTGAACCATTTGTCAAATATTTTTATTAACTCTCATATTAATATAAATAATTCTTTATTTTTACGTTATCAAATTCACGATTTTGATTGGTCAATCAATGATTACACGGATTAAATAGCTCTAAATCTTTAATTAGTTTCAACTAAATAAAATAAATAAACATTTAAAACCAAAATTATCCACTAATTAAACTAATATGTTAGTAAACTATTCCACATAAACATAATAAACATCAATTAATTCACGCTCTCCCAAACATAATTGGTAATACATGCAAATTAACATGATTGTCGACGAAATAATTGTCGATGAAGTGATTGTCGACGAAGTGATTGTCGACGAAATAATTTTCGACGAAATGAACTTTCGACGAAACAAACTTTCGACAATTATTTCGTCGACAAAATGAACTTTCAATGAAATGAAATTTCGACGAAATGATTGTCGATGAAGTGATTGTCGATGAAGTGATTGTCGACGAAATGAATAAGACCCTTAGTATATTCTATTTTACCTAGTACTAAAACAATCTTTATTCAAGATATTTAATTAGAAACCTGAAAGCTTGATGAGAAGAACATATTGAATTACTTATTTTTAATCTATTCTGTCTGTTTCGCTGTTCCATCCTGAATATTTAACATCATTTGTCGTAACATAATTCTGTTCTTGATAATTATCAAATAAATTATCTACATCTGAGACAACAAAATATAAATGGATTTGTGGACCATTTTATAGATAATAATAACAAAGTTAAGTTAAGTTTCAACTGTATATGAAGGGATTTTTTGCAAGGTCTCACTCACCAAGTCTTTGCATGCTGTATTTATCATTAGTGTTAGAAGCTTTTGTGGCCCATGGGAATTTGAACCCACCCACAATTATGACAATTAATTTTTCTTCCAGGTAACGTATAATAAAAAAACAAGAGAGCACACCAAACTGGTATCGAATCCACTAACCATGTCAAATATATAAATATGTCACCAATTATTATTTGGGAAAGCGTGTTAATTGATGATAACAATATAAATTTATGATTATGTGGATCAGAATGAATTGGCTATTACTAACGAATTGGTTTTATTAGTGAATAATTTTGGTTAGTGATTTAAAGAAAACGTTTTATTTAGTCGAAACTAATTTATTGACTTATTTCTAAGTTAATTTACAAGTTATTAAAACTTTATTACAAAGTTATTAAAACTAAGACAAAGTTATTACCAAGCTTTTTTTTACAAGTATGTCAAATTTAAATTAATTAGCAACAACTTCATTCCAGTCTAGCATTCTAACACTTTAATTACGACGTAACATCCTAACCGCGACGCTAATTTTTAAATAAACTAATTTCGACGTTATACGAATAAAAAAGTAAAAATGTAAATTTTGGCCAATAGATCAGCGTTAAATCCTAATTCTGGTAACAATAGCAAAGTAAAAATGAGTTTCTTGCCAAGGATCTAGGCGACAACTGATGTCTTATATTAATTGTACTGTCAAAGATCGTTTGTAAATAACCGACAATTTATGAAATAGCTTTATTATTATACAAAAAAAACCATTTTTGGCTCGTGTAATAGTAAAAATTCTTACTTCTCCAATAGCAAAATTATTTGTAATTAATTATTATACCGAAAAAAAAGATACTTGACTTTAAATTTTATGAATTAGTAAAGTACTCGTCGTAGCCATTCATTGAAGGGTGCTCGCTAAACATATTTTGGGAAATTTCAAAATAAAGAAGAAAATATTACAATGAATGTAATCGAGAATCAAGCAACCTGTCAATTCAGATTTTTATTTGTATTATTTTTAAGTCATGTGACTTACTTAAATATTTTTTTTTCAAATTAAATTTTTTTAAAAAAAAATGTCTAATGAACGGTAATTAATCATTTAAAATTATTTCTAGATTTAATGCAATTAATTAATTGAATATTTTTTCCACAAAAAAAAAAAAAAAAAAGAATAAATCCAAATATTTTAATAACAGGCACACCAGGAACAGGTAAATCAACATTATCAGAATTATTAGCAAAATCAACCAATTACAAATATATCAATGTTGGCGAATTGGCAAAAGAAAAAAATTTATATGATGGATATAATGAAACATTCGATACAAATATATTAGATGATGATAAAGTAAGCGTTTATAATAATCAGTCTAGGATGAATAAAAAACTTATGTTTATTATTATATTTAGGTTGTTGATGAATTGGAAGAAATTATTGAAGAAGATGGTGGAAATATTATTGATTTTCATTCTTGTGAATTATTTCCAGAACGTTGGTTTGATTTAATAATAGTATTAAGAGCAGATATTACTATTTTATATGATAGATTAGAAAAAAGGTGAGTAATCTAATATTATATAAAAGAAAGAAAAATTATCTATTATTATGCTTTATTATATACATTATATACATTATTGATATCATTGATATTTGATTTTAGAAAATATACAGGTCAAAAAATAACAGAAAATGTTGATTGTGAAATATTTCAAATTGTACTAGAAGAAGCAAAAGAATCTTATTCAGAAGAAATTGTTGTAGAATTGCAAAGTAATAATACAGATGATATTGAAAATAATCTATCAAGAATTGAAGAATGGATAAAAAACTGGAAAATTTTGAATAATAACAATTAAATAGCCAATTAATTTAATAATAATAATGCCTTTTGATGTCAAAAATCAAACTCCCAAAAAAATTTTTTTATTAATTTTTTGATTTTATTATTCAAATAAAAAAAAATTGTTGATAATTACCTCTAATAATAATAACATTATCTACAGTAAATAATAATAACAACAACAACAAATCTTTATTATTACTATTATTATTATTTATTTTCAGATTTTTTATTATCATATAATCTGATAGATAAATTACACGCATGTCTGTTTTTTATTGGCTAATCTTTATCCATAAAGGTTTTTTTTATCATTACAAATAATAAATATTAAAATCTTCCGCCTTCTATAAATATACATCTTAACTCCACACGCACACACACACAAAAACTCGTTATCAATCAAAGTTACCTTCCATCAACATATAATCAAGGAGTCAGATAATAAAATTATTTGGATTACAAAACTTAATCAAAAACCAATGTTCTTTTATGATGACAAATATGGCAAGGATATAATTCAAAGATCTGTATTGTTATTTTGGATTGGTTATAACGTATTATTTTATTGATATAAATTTGTATTACTCTATAGATTAAAATGTTATTAGTAACATTAGCTTTAAATATTTATTATTCATATTAAACATTTTCCTGTTTTTAAGATAATGAACATGCACAAACTGATAAATAAAAGTTTATATAATGGGAATACACGCCATTGTTTTTCATCTAATTATTCAACAGGATTAACCTGTATACTATTCTTTTCCTTCCAAAAATAGTTCTTTTAAACAGTTAAAACACAATAAACAAGAAGGAAATTACTATATATGTTGGATACATGTTGGTCATGCGGGGGTGGCTGACTCATGTAACCGACTTTATCGAGTTGTCGGAATTTTTAGCCGACTTGTCGAATTTACATGTTAATGCACCCAAAAAGTATTCGAACGAGGAGGTTTTTTAACATAACTAAAGTACATAAAATCTATGTCACTAGATGGCTTAGGTTTTGACAGTTCTACTTATAAAATCTTGGTTTTTTTTTTAATCGTTATTTATGATTTTTAGTTAAAAAAAGACAAACACTGGTCAAAATTTTATTTTTATTTTTTTAATCAGTCTTTTGAAATACTAAGTGTCTTTGCGATTTTGCAAGAGAACTACCACCTATTCTTAGACCTAAAATTTCCTTCGTTCAGTTTTAGTTAACTCGGAATTTTATTTTTTTGCCATTTTTAAAAATCAAAAAAATCGTGAAAATTTTTTTTGATCTAATCAATTTTATCGGGAATCAGTTTATTTTTAATAATAAAATTTTTTATTCATTAAATTTTGATATAAAATTTCGAGAAACATAAAAATCACAAAGATAAAGAATGATAAAAAAAAGAAATTTTATATCCAGAATCGTCAAAACTTAAGTCATATAATGATATAAATTTTATGTACTTTCGTATGTGTCATTTTCATAATTATTAAAACCCCGTTCGAATACTTTTTGGAGGGCAGTGTATGTGCTGTATACGGTAAAATCAACGAAGTTCATCAAGTCGAAATTTTATTATGCTAATATTCAAGTAAAAGTTGCTCGCCTGGTTTTGATGTATTAGTGCGGAAAATTTTAAGTTCCAATTATTTAAATTAATTAAGATCGCTTCAAGCAAAGCTAGCCATTTTTAAAGTTTCACCTGTAAAACCAATCCGAAAGACCAAATTTATTCCAATATACAATTATATTAACTATATTACTATCTCCTCATTATCAAGCTTTAGACAATGCAATAAACATCTCTCCATATACGTTATATCCTTTGATCATGAACTAACTGGCCAAAAATATAGCATCCCATCCCATGATAGTTAACCATCAATTTACCTATAAGAAAATTTTCATTCACCACGATCATCAAAATTGTACTTGTTCTTGCATTATGAAATAGTCGCAAGATGGTTTCTGCTTTTTATTATTGGTACCACATTGTAAACCCGTTATTGTTCTGCTATATCCATCAATAAAAAACCATTATAAACTTCCACCTAATTAATTTATGATTCCATCATTATGCCATGATAAGATTAGCAAACACTATAAGGTTGGCAAGTTACAAAATTTGACAACCCATGATTTATGGACCTTATGTAAGTTGATTTCATATTTATATTTATAGATAATCCTGTAGGTGTTAATTTTACAACTGTTGATGTTGACCAATTTAATCCTGAAATTTCTTGGTGACATAATTCAATAACGGGGGCATTTGTCGCAGATAAATTCACTTTTACCAAAATTGAAATTTCATGTGATCCACATTTAAACCCACTCACATTTACATAGTGATATTTCGAAATATATGTTTTCCAATCCTATGTAGTTGTGAGGATAAAAAAAAGATTTTTTTTTTTTACAAACCAAAATTTGTTTCCGTTTACTGTTTTATGAATGAAATCACTACAATTGGATGAGTTTATTATTATTATATAGTTTGTTAAAAGTAAATTAATAATTTATTTTAATGCTGAAATTTATTATATATTTTTTCTAACGTGAAACGAGTATTTCTTTATCATTCAACGATGATATAGCTATTTAATTATAAGCAACACAAATAAAACAGGGAACGGATAAATAATCAGATAATTTGGGATTTTTGATATTTGCATTTTAATTAGCATTAAAATTGATTAAATAGATTTTGGTTCGTAAAAAAATTTTGGGCATTTCTTCAAACATAATGAAATTCAAAACTGCGTAATGATACACGCATGGCTTTGCCTACACGGAAAAAAAGGACAGGGAAGTTGATCTCATTTAACGTGATACATGCAGACGTTCTTGGCCCGTCATGGAAATAACGTTAACAATTGGATGAGCCTTTTGTTATTAGTTTGTTAATTACATATATAATTAAAGGTAAATTAATAATTTATTTTGATGCTGAAATTCGTTGTATAACTATATTAATTATAAGAACACAAATAGAATGTTATTTAAAAATAAAATTTTAACAGTATGGATTTTATAACTTTAATGTTACACTTTTAAATTGGCATTCAATCCACTTGTTTCAAGCTTGAATATCACGAATTTGTATCACAAAAATGAAAATTTCTGCCCACATGATAATTTTTGTGTTACAATAATTCCACAAAATTTACTGGTTCAATTGCACCATAAGTTGATCTTAAAAATATATAAAAAAAATTACATAAAAAGAAGAATTCTACATTTTAAAGTTTTTTTTCTATCTTACGTACTACCATAAAGGGCACACAGCGCAACTAAAAGGTAATTTGTTTACAGGCTAGTATGAGGATGAAAATTCTTATTTAACCATTTATCATCAAAACAAATATTATATTATGTAGGGAATCAAGTTAATCATCATCATGATATGATTACTTTACATTCAATTGCATTGGAAGTTTTTAATATTTTAAACAAGTAGATATTCTCTCTTGTATTTTGTTTTGCGTTGTAAAAAAAATTTTCAACTGGGATGAAAAAAAGGGTATGACTAGATTTACACACGGTATGATAACTTTTCTGTGTTCTGATCCGAGGTCCTGTCTAGTTGATCAACAAATTTTAAAATCCAACCGAAGCTATGGTCGTAAAAACTTTGTCGGCTAAAATTTTTTGTTTTAGTATTTAAAAGCTTCTTTTTTAACTTCTATTATAAAAAGACGATCTGCACCGTATTAAATTTTACTATATATAACTCAATCAAATTATTTTTCATCTATTATCATCCATCATCTATCCATTACCCATCATCTGTAATTAAACAAATATTTTACAAAATACTTTAACAAATAATAATAAACATTTTTAATTTTAAAATCCATAAAAAAAAAAAAATAAATATGTTGATAAGTGGCCATACTTGTGTTGATGAAAAAGAACCTCTTCTAGAAGAAATTGAAGAAATAAAAGAATACCACTTCCATGTCTACTTTTTTCAAGTAAGAGTAATGGGAGAATGAGCAAGAGAGACATACAATAGATAATAAATTAACCAGTTGGTTTAATTTTTAATTTTTCGTTAATAAAATAAAGGAAAATAAAGAAAGCCGCGAAGCCGCGGTTAAACTTCGAAATAAAATTATCGAATTAATCGCTAAAGGATTTTTTAACCCGGTACCATATCATACAGTTAACCATAAACCGCTAGGGCCGCATATAATTGTATGTGATATATATAATATATATAATTAATTAATTAATTAATTAATTAACATTAATATTAATGTTTATTATGTATGTATTCTCTAGGGATCATATGAAGTGTGGTGTCCAAAAGAGCATTTTTCAAGGGTGTACTCGTGGTTTCTTTTACATAGGGGTGAGCTTTCAGTCATGGTTCATCCTTTGACAATAAATGAGGTCAAAGACCACACAGAAAATGTGACTTGGATGGGCAAATCCATACCCTTGGATATAGCTCAGTTATCGGATAAATTGCCAGAAGTTCCTGCACAATACCCAGAATTAAAAATGGGTTATTCTGCACCAAAATGAGAAATAATTTTTTTATAAAGCAATATTCTACTCATGTATTTATTAATTTGTTGTATAATCGTCATTGTTATTATTATTATTTAATAAAACACAACTTTTAATTATTGGATTATTGGGATAATCTAAACCTAATATGAAATGATTGAAAATTTATACGAACCTATTACAATTTCGATAGTGAATACAAAGAAAAATATAAAAAAAAAATTTTTCTCTAAAAAAATATTATTATTTTTCTTTCTATTTAATAATAATATTTTAATGCTTTATTTAATTTTATAAAAATAACAAAAATGTCAGATTTTAGTGATATTAGTTATCTCTGTAAGTTATATACTATAATGACAATTATTATGATTAATAACTAACAATGTCATGTTCACTAATTAATCAATTCGCATTCACATTCAAATATATTAGCAAGAATTATTTATACGCCATTCATTATGGCATGGTAAGTGTCATAAATTTCTAATTCATAAAAAATATTCTAGTTCCATCTTCCAATTAATTCATTATCTAACTCTTTCATCTTCCAATTCATTCATTCATTCATTCATAAAAAAGGTTGGTAATAAACATTAATCAAACCAACAAATTAAAAATACTCTCATGTTCTAGATTTTTTCATCTTGAACCAAGGACATTGTTTTCATATTTATTTTTTTTAGGATTATTGATACAATTAATGTATGATATAACAATATATTATATTATATTTAAAAATTCAATAATTATTACTGGAAATTTCGAAGATATTTTATCAAATGATGTTGATATAAAATTATTTCAAATTTCAAAATATTTGAATTCAATTTCTTTAAACTTTTTCATGTAAGAGCATTTGTTTATTCGATTTTTTTTTTATTTTTTTATTTTTCTAATACTTTTATTTTTTTTATTTTTTTTGAATAGATCGAATTTATTTTTATTACAGGCATTTTGTAATTATTTAATTGAACAATTATCTCATAAAAAATTTTCAAGTGTTTGGGAACATCAGAGTTTTACGATACTGGCGATCCTACTCATACCGCTGTAAGTATAGTGTTAATTACGTAATTTGCTGTTATATACGTCATCATAATGCATTTGATGATCGTCAACCATTTTATTTTAGGTTACCAATACTTGAATTTGTGTTAACAGAACATGTTGATAATAACAGTTTATTAATAGACAAAGAGATCATTTTAGGATTAATTTTTGGAGGATTAATATTCATTATAACGTTATTAAACATAAGAATAAACATAAAGCTTAATAGATTAATTAAAAACAATCAATTTTCAAGAAACATTGTTATGAATCAAGGAAAATTAATATATTTTCAAGATTTAAATCTTTGGTTGATCATTAGTTTATCAATTTTATCAGCAAGTTATATAACATATAATATAGTTTATAGGTTAAATTTGATCACAGACAATAAACTTGTTTTAGATTTCATTATAATCAATATAAATTTTAGTAAGTTTATAATATTAATATTAATCATCACAATATTTTATCCTAATTTTGAGTTGAACTCTTCCAAATCAAAAAGACAAATCTCTGAACCAATTGATACAACAAAAGATTTTGATAGTACTGTTATAGCATTAGGTACTCCTAAACATTATGCTGAAAGCACTATAAGGAGTAAACAGATCATAGTTGAAATGAGACAAGATGTTATTGTGGATGCTAGAGAATTTGATGATAATGACGGTGCAAGAACTCCTTTCAGACCTTTTTCCCCCGCTTCTCATTCTTTGTCTTCATCTAGTTTGAATAATTATCCTAACAAGTCATTGAAAAATAATCGACAACAAAATAATAATGGTAAAAATAATAATGATGATAATATCACCATCGCCACTGCCACTACTCCTAGATCAAGTAATTATAGTAATGCTACTACTCCTAGATCAAGTAATTATAGTAATACTGCTACTAGATTAAGTAATTATAATAATAATGATTATGGTGTTAGATTAGGTGGAGGCAAATTTAATCATACTATTCATGGAAGTTCTGGATTATCTCAAGAGCATTCAATTATAAAAGAAGAATCAGAATATAATAATTGCAATGATACATCTTCAAGTATTTATAGTTCAGATATTAGAATTGGATCAAATCTGCAATCAACAGTCGGTGATAATAGTAAAACTAATGTTCATCTATCTCCATTATTATCCTCCTCAATGAGTAACAGTAACAGTAACAGTAACAGTAACAGTAACAGTAACAGTAACAGTAACAGTAACAGTAACAGTAACAGTAA